TTTTTTTTAATTATTGACCCCCAACCACGCCGCCCCCTACCACCCCCCGCCACCCAACTCCTGAACAATTTTATTTTTTTTTGTTTTTTTTTTGCTTTGGGGGGCAGCCCCCAATGGGGAAGGTCCCCGAAACGGGTCATACGGCCGTACGGGCCGTACGGACGTCTCATATTCGTACGACGTGATACACAATTTTTTATCATAACTTCTATATCCGGTGTCCAAAGTTTTTGATATTTGGCTTGTTAGAAATCTCTTGACGAGCCATTTCGAACGAGCCATAGATTGTCAAAGTATGTGCGTTAGTTTTGAAGCTACAATCAGTCAAAGATCGCAATTGTTTTTTTTCACAGGTCCAAAATCGCGCATGCTCGGTTTTTTTACGAGCGTTATTTATACAAGCCACGGATGAAGTCGCGCCATATCTTGTTGGAAGCGCCTTCGAAAAAGTTTTCCAACAAGTCATTTGTTTCCAAATTCCGCCTAACGGATCAAAAGTTATTGGCCAAAAACAGATTTGCCCTCTCTCTCCTTTCTCCCTCCACATGACCATTAGAGTGCCACGTGGTAGCACTTGAAGACCCCCTTACCTAGAGGGCTGGTCTACATTGGAGATTATCATTTTTATTTTTTGCAGATTTGATCCTGTATGATAAGATCCAACCAGAGGTGTGCAGCAAATCAAGACCCCCCTAGATAGGGGGTTGCACTATAAGTGGAGAATGTGAGTTTGAGAGATCAAGATCTCTCCTAAACCCTCCAGTTTGCATATTTGATCAGTCTGATCAAATCTTTCTGCAGTGCTGGTAGCTTTGTAGCAGTTTTAGAGGCCTTCTTCCAAGGGGTTGCTTGAAGGCCAAGATTAGGGTTGTCACAGCCCCGGCCCCAGGGGTCCGGTGCGGTGGTCCCCTGACCCCGGCTCGGGAGGGGCAAAAAAAAAAAGAATCCAAAAAAAATCCAAAAAAGAAAAAAAATACAGGGGGGGGCGTAGCAGAAGCCTGCACCCCCTGGGCCTAACTGCGAAAATGCAGTTTTGGGCCCACCTCGGACCTCCGCTGGGGCTACACCCTCCCCAGATGAGCTTTGAGTGGCCCTGGGCACGGG